ATGCTCTAGAGGACCCTGCTTGAGCAGGGTGGTTGGACTAGATGATCTCCAGAGGTCCCTTCCAACCTAAACGATTCTGTGATTCTGTGATTAAGTAACTCTTGTATGTTAAATCAGAAAGAAAATAAAGTTACTTATTAGAAAAAAACAACACTATCACTCAAGGATAATGCTTAATTCATAGATATGTATATATATAAAAGTGTGTGTATATATATACATGTATATACACATAGATAAATTAATAAAATGAGTTAGATACCTTTATTACTTAACTGAATACAGTGGTCATTTTAATGACCACTTCTTTTAAGTTTATAGAAACTAATAGGCAGCAAAGAAGCACCGTGGTGAGGGAAGGGATAGCCTTGTTTTAGTAACAGTGGCATACATTTTAAGCAGTAAAGTTTGGAAGAGAACAGATGAGTTAAGAGCATCAAACCAAGCTTACATCACCACACATGTTTTTTCCCCACTAAAGTACTATAATTCTTACCACTGAGAAGAACAAGAAACTTCACATTGTGATGACAACATCCTTTGAAAGTTCTTACACTATCAGGATCAGGATTCCGAACAAGATGAGTTAGATTAATTTTATTTCTCCTGTAATGACTGCCCCAAGTTTCTATATTCCATTTTTAGGGCATCCTAGAGATTAGTATTCCACGTCTTAAAAGGATCTCTGTGTGTCATTTAAAGACACTATCTATCCTCCTTCTCAAAAAGATCTTTTTGATAACTTCTGCTCTCAGAAAACTAATAGCTTAATTTCTTATGCTTGTGGCTTTATTCTCTTCAAGAAAATGATTATTCCTTATTTTTATTTCTTCACAATGAATCTGGAATTTCACTGTAGAGTAGAATAGGTATTTTCTGAAGGAACTGGTATATTTAAATAATATTTAAGGATTTTTATTATTTCAAAGTGCACTATTATTTTCTCTCTTTGCCACGTTTTAAACATAAGATGGAGTGTGTTCTGCTTTTAATAAGGTCGGTAAGGTGAACAAGCAATGTTCTGTCTCTGTTCTGTTTTTCCTATTTGTGTGGAACACCAGGAAATAAGACTGATTGATCCTAAGTCTTATTTGGCAAATACAGACAGTTTAATCTATTCAGAAATTTTATAAACTAACTGGAAATCTTCGCCATCTTCAGTTAAACTCATTCCATTAGACCTGTCTGTATCTAAACATTAAAAGATTTTATTTTATTTTAAATAATCTAGTTGATATTCTTGACTTCTGTGTACTCCAGGTGCTGAAATGGCTAAATTTTGAAGTTTGATCTTCAGTCCACGCATTTTTAGTGAATGATCTTGTTCTTGCTTGAAATGCAAACCATATCAGTTAATATTTGGCATTGCTTTTTAGTCCTATTGATACTGTTTATGCAGAGGTATGGGTATTAAATATATGTAAGTATGAAAGTTCCTTTATACAAGTCTAGTAAACATCCTGTAGGATTTCTTAGTTTATATACAGTAATTAATTAAAGCAGAGGGAACTTACTTTCTATTACTATTGTGTGTTTGTTTAGGTTCAGTTTCAGAGCTAAAAATTCTATCGCAAAAGTGTACTACTTAAAAATGTCACTTGTGGGTCAGTAAGGTGAATGAAGAGAGGCCTTATCTATACTCATTTTCTCATTAATGAAAGCTGTTACATTAAAACTCTTGAACACGCAGATTCAGCGGAATATAGAGAGCACTAGCATGACTACAGTGAAAGTATAGCGCAATTAGAGCAGAAACATAAGAAGATAGTAACTTACTAGATAGTAATTCGGGATAATTTGTTGCATTTTTGTCAGATAACAAGTTTATTTTTTATATTATTATAATGAGTAACTGTGTTTTATAAATTGCAAATTTTGTAGCAGTAACACGTTATTTTTTTCTCAGCTTGACAGAGCAAATTCTTTGTTGAATCAAGTACAGCAGCCATACAAATACCTGATTGAAACTGTGCGACAGAGAGATTCTCAAATAAGTCTACAGAAAGAACATATTACACAGCTTGAAAAAGATGTCAGGTAATAAAAATCACTGCATTTTTTATTTTAAACTGAAAAGGAAATCATTTCTGTGTTTAGCATTAGAAAACAATATGCTACTGGTCATTAAGCAGGAGACATAGACAGTGCATCAATGACTAAGTCCTGTCTTCATCCTGGAACTTCAGCATCTGTGATTTTGCTCATAATGTCATAAAAGAGCCATTGGGCCTGGAAAAGCAGCAATGAGAATCAGTTTAAAAGGGAATTTGGAGTTGCAAAGAGTTCTCGGGTAGTAAAGAAAGTTCCGACGCACGAAAGGAAAAAAAGGCACATAAGCATACAAAACTAAAAGTAAAGAAATAAGCTCAGAGAAAATTAATAGGTCAGTGCACTAGCAAAGGGTGAAGGGTACTTTGTACCTAAGTACAGCAGGCTTCATCTAGTATAGACTCTCTAGTTTGCTGTTAGGTCCAGCTGCCAGAAGCCTCTGACCACTGAGCAATTTCCCACTATCATATAACTTTATAAACTGTATTTACCATCTGGTTCTCAAATAAACTGTTATAAAATAATCTATCCCGTGTTTGCCAAAAAGTAGGAGAGCTGTATTCCAGTGGACTGGAATTTAGTATTTAAACTGGTAGGTATTTATCTGGTATCTTGATTTAGGAAGCACATACCAGCAGTACTCTACTATGGCAAGCTGAGGTGTGCTCACCACCAGTCAGTGTTTCTATAAAAGAAATTGTGGTCTGACAAACTGTTTTCATCTGTAATAGTTTTATAACAAGCGAGTAATATTTACTTTACATAACAAATGTTTTGGTAAAAAAAACTAAAATCCTATAGTTCCCCATATTCCTTTTAAACTGAAATGAGTAATGTTGACTTTCAGGTATTACAGTTTTGTCTAAACTCTGCTACAATTTAAGAGCCCAGTGAAATTTTTGGAAACACTCTAATCTCTTAGGGCTTTTCATACATGTTAGCAGTCCCTAATTTTGATCTTCTTAACTCTGGATTTAAAAAGATGTCCTAAGTTGCTAGCTGAGAGTCCCTTGAGCACAGGAGAAATCATTATCTGGTATAAAGCTGATGATGTTGTTCCTACGCTTTCCCATTACCATGTTTGGCATCAAGGATAGAGAAAGAGATTTATAACAAGAGAACCACTACATTCTAGCCATCTTTTGCCATGAGGATAGCCATTTGGAATCTACCGATGACAGATTTAAATTAAAATATCTTTCAGGTGATTTCAGATTATGTCATGAACCAGTCTAGCTCCCAGCTAGCCCAGAACTGGTCAGTGGATCAAACTAATTTAAGTAAATTAATGATAATCCCTACCAAATACATGCCAAGTAAAGCTCTGCTGGATCAGAAGATTTGTGTTCCTATCTATCTTCTTAGCTTATTAAACAGCATTTTGTTGGTTTATATGTGGAATATTATGTGGAGTATTTTTGAGAAAATGAGTTCAGAGAGTTAATGCTCCTCAAGGAGGGCTCTAAATTTTGTAGATAATGTTGATGCCATTAAAAAAGTAGTAGTGGAAACACTAAGCAGGGTTTATGTAGCCTGATTTTTCTTTATCTCAGAGCTGAGGCAAATGTTAATATTTGTAAAGCTACTTCAAAATGATGTTTTTCTCAGTTGTAACTAAAATCATTAGTTAATGTTTTATTCTGTGTTAGGCTTTTTAAGTTGAAGTTTAATTTATGCTACAGTTATACAAGATGCATAATTATAGTTAATAATTTTACATCTAATGCATGCATTAATTTTATGTCTAGAAAGCAATTTTGCAAATAACAGCTAATGCAAAAATAATGTTGAAAGTTGTGTTCTTATTTTGACTTTTAAAATAGTAATTAGGGATTTTTTGCTTAGAAATGTTTTGAAATCTCCTTTTTGAATACCAGATTATAGATAGATAAAGTAGCGTTGGTATTCCTGTACCCTGACATTCAAGACTAAATACTTCATTTTTATCCTCACAGCTACACTATGTGTTGATCAAGCTTTTCCTTCTTGTATGTTTACTGTGCAGAATCTATAGTGGAATAGCGTTCCCTCATGTCATGCCTTTACCTCATCTGCCCATCAGAAGTGATGATGGAGACTTGCAAAGCCACTGAGCTTGATTGGTCTTTTGATATCAGTCCAAAATTTAGAGTTGTGGCTCACACAGGCTAACTAAGGACAGAGACTGGAGATCATTCTCATTGCCATCATACCCACTGGTGCCAACAAGAGTATACTTTTACTCTCCTTTCTTCTCACGCACCAATAGAAATGAACCCCAACTACTCTGCCTATACTATTGAATATTTTGTTAACAATGAATTTAGTCATAGAGCTTCAGAGTGTCAGCGGAACCGCTGTCACTTGTTCTAGCGATGAGACTTCTCTTTCAAGACCTTTCATCACTGCTATGGGAATCTGGCACTTACACTTGCCACCCTTCATAAGAGTAGATACGATGGTAAGTCCGCTCTTGGACCACTGTTTGATCCTAATACTTAATGCTCTTAGAGATGGAGTTGGAGGTGCATCACTAAATGTACCCATTTGACTGTTTGCAATAAATATATTGTAGTATCAGAATCCCTGATTGCTTCAGTTTTATCACACTGTAGCTCTGTTTCTGCATTACACAGGTCATGAATTCCTTAAGTTGCCTTTTGTATTGTCAGTGCCAGAGTTCTCTACCTCTCACTCAACTTAGGTTTGGAGGGATCACCAAGGACTAAATTGCTAGTGGATTTACTTTCTAGACTTAATCGAGAATTGATTTTCATGCACTACCATGATGGCCGCTAATCTTTTCAGAACCTATTCCTAAGGTGGTTAGATTCCTGCAAATTTCCCAGAGTGATGAGTCAGGACTTTCTTGCAACTTATAAATGTTTTGCAGGAACGTGCAATGCTTTATACTTCCTTGCATATTCAGAAGACTGTTGATTATTATTGGATGTGCTTTTGATTCTGTGATGAAGTAGACAGTCTTGATGAACGCAGTACAAGAAGAGTGTCTATAATAACAATCCACTTAGTCTGGACTGAGGATGTTCTTGTGTCATGCCCTTATCAATTTTTGACAAAATTGCTTATAATGTTTTAAAATGTGGTCCCTGGACAGGCAACAACAAATTTATTCAGGATTCTCCCCACTGCATCGCTCTATGAAAGTGCCATTTCTGACAGCAGTTATTTCCACAAGAAGAGTGAGAGAAATGCAGGCACATCCTTTTGATATAGTAGTCTTTTGAGATGTCCTGCAGATCTGTTATAAGTTTCTTTCCAGTGTGGTCTTCAGAGTCCACTTTAACCAGATCTGCTTACGTATCTTCTTCCATAAACTTCATACCTCTACACCTAAGTCTGTCTTTCAAACCCCCAATATCAAAACACATCTTTCTTTTTATACGGAAGGAACTGGATTATTCAAATAGCCCTCAGCTATTTACTTGTGTTAATAGCTGTCAAACTGAGAGGAAAGGAAGGTGAGATAGATACTAGGCTGAATCAATGCCTGCAAGTAGCATATTTTGCCAGAGCCGGAGCTATTTTGATGGCCTTGGTGAGAAATGTTTCTATTCTGAATCTCTCCAGCACAACTTTGTGGATGTTTAGGAGTATCTTCAAAAGAACTACAAAAACTGTTGCAGCTGGGATGAATGCATAGTTGAGCAGCTCTCATGCCTGTTAGTTCTTTGCATGAACACCTTAGAGACCCATCTCCAGGTTATTCTAGATGTATGACATTACTGCTTAGACTCCTGTGTGAAGGTGCACATGTGTTATCACTCCAAGATAATAGAGGTTACTGAGGTGTAATCAAAGCTCTTTCACTTATAATACACATGCATATTCACCATGCGCCCTCCTTCCCATAGCTATTTGAATTCTTCCTAGAAAGCCACTGTGCTGGCATTTGGCAGGTGAAAGAGTTGAGGAAGAAGCAGTCTAGATTGCAGGTTTGTGCACTGACCCCTCTATCTGCAAACACACTTTGGATAAAAAATCTCTACTTTTGAACGACGAGGCATCTACAGGATGAATTTATAGGTGATCCACACATCTCAAAATATTCTGTTTTCTGTTAAATAACTTTACATTTATGTCGGCTCTCATAGTACTTATTTTAATATAAGTAAATAAAGGTAGTTATTAAGAATAGTTGCATGTGTGGAGATGACTTTTACCTTAGCCCTGTTATGAAGAAATCTCCCTAGTATCCAGTTCTTTAACCAGAAATGAAAAAAACACATTTAGCACTTCTTATGAAAGAAAAATGCCTTAGAACTATGTCATGCTGTGAGAAAACAAGTCTATGAACTTCATTCTTGTGTATGCAGTGAAATAATTGTAGTCTTGGTACATAGTTTTCTACTAAAAACATCTAGGTGTATAAATAACTGGAGACGTTAAACAGGACTTCATTCATAAAGAGAGGGTGTTTATTTTACATGTAGTTCCTCAGATTTCTCAATACTAATGGCTGATTTTAAAAGTGTTTGGCTTATCCAAAAGCACTCCTCAAAAGCCTAACTGTGTGGCAGATCAAGAAGCAGTACAAGGATTTTGCTCACTAAAAAGTGATGTACTGAAACGTTCCTTACTTAAACATTCTGGGTTCTCTAATTGACATCCAAACATTATAAAGCTTAGCATAGTGTCAGCTGAATTTTTCCCATTGCACAATTCTGGCAATGAGTTTTTTATGAGAATATTGCTGTTTCTTGAAATAAGTATTATCTATTCAAACACTACTGCAATTTACCTTAAAAACAAAATTTATACAAATATATTTGTGGGTTTTTTCCTACAAATATGTGCATTCTGACCTGTATCACAACTTGTAAAACTATTGCACTTTTTATGATTTTTTTCTTTTTACAGGTGAGTTCTTAAGCCAGTTGAAGCACTACAGTTGAAATCACTGAGCAATAGTTTCCTAGATGCCTTTAAAAATCTTATATGGGGTTATTTAGCTGCACTATAAGAGTTTTTCATGCTACTCTCTTTTCTCTTCTAACTAAGTTTTATTTGCAAATTTTTTTCTGCCTCTTTTTTTAACTACATGAGTTTAAAAAAATCCAAATAAAACATGCAAAAGTAGCTGCCTATTCTCAGTTTATAAAATAGATCCATTCATCTGTACTACTCAGAGAAGGGGTTGTTGTGTATATGTAATATTCATGCACATTACTCCACCTACATTGTAGATTCAGTTCTGTGTACAAAACTTTCATGTATTCCATTTTTAAATTTGTTTTTTTGATGATAATGTTTGGATGTTAACATAAAATGCATAAAAGAACTCAAGATTAGATTAAGTATTCAAAGTCTTCATGCTGTAACATGAAAGTGCTAGAAAGACACAATCCTTACTTCGTAGATCATTTAGGAAAGTGCAGTTTTCTGAAAAGGGATTTTTTTTTCCAAACTGAACAGAAGCAATAATAAAAAACAATGTAATACATAAATACATGTTTGTTTAGTGCATCCAGTATAAACATATTATCCAGAACATCTAATAATAGAAGCTTTTTAATAGGATAGTAGCTAGTACCTTTAGGCCAAAGATTTAAAAGATGACTTTATTGCCTAAATTCAGAAGGCCTTAAAAGTCTGATATTGGAAAATGCTAGTTTCCAGTCTCCAGGAAAGTAAGTCTCCATCTTAGTTTTGATATCCAAGCTACCTTGGCTTTAGACCCTGAGGAAAGCAAAGCAAAATGAACCAGTGGTTTCTATGAGCAATGTGTGTGCATATGACAGGTGTATTCCATAAAATTCCATAAAGTCCTGCATTCCTGGACCCTGGATTCGTGCCTGGCTAGGTCTTGAAAGCCTGATGGACTGAAGCTACATGTTCTCCCAGTCATCCTCATTTCTTCTGGATGGAAACCAAGGCACACAGGAAAAGACATTGTTTGTGAAAACCTGCGCAGCTTTTCAGTAATTCTCCATCCTAGACTTTGGGGGCGTCTATTATATGCCTCACAAAGGGCACTTTCCTCACATTCAAAATGGAGCAGTCAGTGACCGGGACTGTTAGAGCACAGCATGGTCTACACTTTTCCTGAGGTATAAATGCAGCCGTTCATGCTGTTAAATAACTCCAAGGGTGTAAGATCATCCCTGTACAGCCCATTGCTCCCAGATGTTCACGTGTGTTTTCTTAAAGGTCATTTAGCCATTGGAAGATTTCTTTCGACATAATGTTTAATACTTTAATATATATCTATATCATGAAAACTTTAACATATGGTCCATTAAAAATGGTCAAGAAGATCATGTCTCTTCAGGTGAAAGTTATAACCCTTGAGCTAAGATGTGAGAAACTGTCTTGTCTGGATTTTAGAGTGTTTTCCAGAATCATGGTAACACGGTTAAGACTGCATAGCCACCAAAAGGGGCGGTCATGTCCTTACCTCCAGCCATGTTTTTCTATTCTACATGCTAAATCAAGTTAGTTTGCTCATCTACATAAAAAATAACTTTACCAAAAATACCCTCTAATTTTCAACCAGACCAGTTAGACTGACTCACTCATCATGTCACAAATTTTGTAGTACCAACCCAAAAAGGGGGTACCAATATGTGGTTAGGGGCAGGGATAGGGAAGGATGACCTTTCAGCAGCAGCTGCCACTTAGGCCAGCTGAAATTAACTGTAAAGCTGCTCTCTAGTTTGTTACACTGCAAATTAAAATTGTATTAGTTTAAACTACTAATTGATGAAAGTATAGGGTGGTTTAAAGTTAGAACCTCATTTAGTGCTTATATCTGGGATGCCAGTTCAGAACATTTTTTTAGTAGGGACTGAAATGGTCCTTCTTCTTCCCAAAATTGAATTTTTGAAGACATTTCAACCATACTTGGTTCTTACAGATATTAATTTAATAAAGGTGTGTCTGATGACCCTGCTTTCTCACTCTGTTAATTTTTATATGTTCCTTTGCAATGTTCTTTCAGAGGTGTATACCTTATTTCCTTTTATCTACAATGATGAAAAAGCATCACTATTCCAAAACTACTAAATTTGAAGTCTGCACATTCTTTGGTAATTCTGTATTCACAGAGATTATATGTGTAAGAGAAGATACTTGCAGTGCTACTGAATGACATAGCATAGCCTAATTCCTATAATTATCCATAAATAAAATTAGGACAATATTGAGGCTTCTGTACATGGATCAGTCATGTCATGTTGATTCAGAAGGGAAGAAGCAGTATAACTAGAGTAGGTTGTATTCCATAGATAAAATTGAACCTTGAAAGTGAACTTCCGATTAGTGATAAACACTGATGTATGTGCTTGTTAAGTATACTATTTAAGGCATACAGGAACTTTTTATTATTGCTTCTCTAGTAAGTTTGTGAATTGCCCTCTGAAAGGATTGGTTTCTGCTATTAGGAAGTACATAAATCCAAGAAAAATTGAAATATCGGTAGGTTACAGTACATGAACCCAGGAAAAAAGAGTACAGCAATTTCATTATAATTAAGAATGGCGCAGAAGATAAAATTCTTGAAGTAGTTAGTGTTTCACAAATGTTACTCCTTTCATTTAAAGTAACTTTCAGTCATGGAACTTAAGCAATTTGTTCAAAGTATAAGATTTTTCTGAGAATTAATGAATGCCTAGGAGGAATTGACAGTCATACACAGTACAGAACTTGAAAAGAACTGTTAGGAAATCCCCAGGTCAAAGAATGACATTGCTTATTTAAAACAAGTTGATGATACACAGCCAATTAAAGAAAAAGTTGATTTATTTTGTTGATAATCTCTGGGAAGTAAATATTGGGAACATTAAAAAATTTGTGTTTGCAACATATGTAATTGCTCCATATTTCAATATACTTTTGAATCTCATGACCTGTATTCAGTACTGCATATTTGCACTCCACATGCTGAATTGGTTTTTGCTGAGTTGTTGACTTATATTACACTTTTTTGTAAAACCTATTTAGTTGAGTCGTGATTGTAGTGGGTAATATTGGTCTTCTAAAAAGAAAATGTTTGCAGCTCTTATAGCAAAATATATAGATAGATAGATAGATATAGATATAGATAGATGTATTTAAGAATGCATTAATCTGAAGTTTACTGTTGGAATCTGATGTTGGGGCTGAATGTGAAAATATAATTAATTATATTAGAAGAACTGCTGCCTAGGCTTAGAATGTGTATGCTAAACATTTCAAATGTTCGTATTCTGTAACTATTGAAACAAAGACTCAAGACAAAATAAACTTGACTTTGTGCTACAAAAGCATGCTTTTATGCTAAAACTGTTTTCAGACTTTACTCACAAGAGAGACGTAATGCCCTGGATTCTCCTGTAGTATAAAATAATAAATGGCAAGAATAGATTTACAATTTCTGCCGAAACTACAGAGCTAAAAGGGAGTTGGATGTTCTTCCTTGTATTTGTTATTTACAAATTTCTAAATACGGCATTATTAAAACAGGTAGTTTTGAGGGAATGATGGTGCTGCTACTATTCTTAAAAAATAAAGGAATCAAAAAGTCATTTTGATATGGAAATGTAAATATAAGGAACCTTACTGTTATTTATAAAATGAGCCCAATTTGCCTAGAAGAAACCTATAGATTATAACAGAATGTCCTGAAAATATTTTTAAATTACCCTTCAGAGAATCAAAGAAAAACACATTTTACGATGATTTTGAATAGCATTTTTGTTAGACTAAAGTAAGATTTTGTATGTATCCATGTATTCAGACCCATTTATAACCAAATTGCAATGCTTAAACATATAGAAGGATCATTTGCTGTATTTACTTGAGCAGATTTGCATTGTTGCTGGTATTTAGGTTTAGAAAATGCAAGTTTCAACCAGAATACAAGATTAAAAGAGATTATCTTTTGCTATTACTGTATTGCCTATATTCTTTCTACCAGTCTTTTAAATAAAGAAAAGACAGCTTTGCTGCGTGTCAAGAATCAAATGGCAGCAGATTTGGAGAGACTTCTAAATCATCGTGAGGTAATCTTCCTATTTTAGCATTACTACCATAAATGTCTTTTCTCTCTGTTATATCATGGGAAATTTTTGGTTTAGTTTAGTTTGCTTTGTTACTTTATTTTGTCTCTGCAGTTTTCAGAAACATAGGTGATAGTGTCTCTCAGGCATCCAGAAGGTTCTGAGTTGCAGTTTGAGTTGCTAATTTCTCTCTGTCTTAACTTTGGCCAGTGGACTTAGTCTCCCTGTTCTTTCTTTTTCTTATGCATGTAACAGATATGCCTCACACTCTTTAGTGTTTTGGCAAAGATTTAACAGTATCTAGGTAAAGGTGATGTAGTTGATATACACTGCTTGTAATCTGCAGGGCTTGTGGTATGCCCATCTCCCACCACTAGTCATCCCTAGTCATCAAGACCAGAAGCCTGGACAAAGCATTCCACAATTCATTTCCAGTTCACACACTGGAGTTTCTTTTCAACTCCAGCGTAGGATTTGGGGAGAGCAGACAGGATGGTGGTCACCCAGATTTCATCCAGACAAGAGTCACCCTACTTCTGTATGTATTCGCCTGAGTTTTATCCAGGCAAGGAGTCAAGATGCTTCTGCGTTACGTTCTCAATCTAAAAGTGGGAAGTATGTGAAGTCTTGTAGTTTAGATGTAACTTAACTATATGAAGATTCCCAAAAGGCTTTTCTCAAGCTCTCTCTCAAAACAATCCTAAGAGACTAACCTGTCATGGGGTTTGAGAGAAGATTCTTTCACTGATTAAATATCTGAAAAAAGGATAGAAATAAATGAAGCTTACCAAAGGAGTCCCACAGATAAAATGATCTGAAAAAGGGTGACTAGTGATATGAAAATTTGCTGATGCTACAAAATATTCAGGATACAAAAACAAAAGCTGACTGTGAAGAGTTGTTGAATGATTTCTGAGAGCTGCTGATAATTTGGGAAGGACTTGCAGAGAAAATATAGTGTTAATAAATCTAAAATGATTAATGTGATGAAAAACAGCACTAGCTATATGTACGTGGTGATGGGATCTAAATTAACTTTTATATCTTCAGAAAGAGAAGATAGAGTCATTATAGGAATAGTTTTCTGAAAATACCCTTTCAATTCCCAGACTGGGAAGAGAGGAGATGAGGAGATTCCTTCCAAGGAATCTGCAACTCCTTTAAATTATTCTTTTTGTAATTGCATGATCACTCCTTATAATGCCATTATTCTATAGAAACCTGACTGTCCATGCACCTCTCCAGGTTTCCCCACTCACACCTCCAGAACTGTTTTCTTTCATCTCCTTCACTTGCTCTTCCCTCCAAATTCCCTTTTCAGATGAATTCACCAAAATTTTCATGAATTGGGCCAAAACAGTTTTTGTGCAAACTAGTTACAAAATCCTTTTCTGTTAAAACCAAACCGAAACGATCTCACTGATAGCTGCGCCTAAGTGAGCCTTAACTTAAGTGAAAACTTCTCATTCTATTCCCTGAGTGCAGACCTCACATAGGAAAGGATCAACTGAAATAAAAGTCAACAGAGCACAAGTTTTTAACTTTTTTTACTCTCTGTGCTGAATCACACTGGGTGGTCATCTGATGCAATTTCCCCCGGGAGCAGTTTTTGCATTTAACACTCTGAATTTATTGTAGTGCTTGTGAAAAATTCCATGTATTGGGATTAAAATAGCCTAATTACAGAACAGAGTGTAATTGAACATGCTGCAGGAACTGAATATCCTGCAGGTGTCGTTGACCTAGCAGGATCATCTGTAGGTACATCAGAAGTGATTATTCGCTACCTGTTATTTCTGATGTCTGAATCCACCTCTTAGGTCCAAATTTCAAATTTAAGACTAAGTTTGAGGTTAATGTTCAATTTGGGTTATATTTAGGTTTACTTTTTTATTTTGTTTCTAGGAGGAATAATTTCCCTTAACACCAAATAATTTTTATGTAAAATTCAGCTTTCTCTTTTTTTTTTTTTTTTTGAAAAATTGCAACACTATTTTGAAAAACTTTCTAGGGGAAACATTTCAGAAGTTTATTTTGTTTCATATATTTTCCTAAGCCTGCATTCAATAAATAATTAGAAGAAAAACAAATTCAATGTGCTATTGTATTTGATGATCAGATGACTTGTTTCATAGCTGAATCACTCAGTGAAGATTGTAATATTATTTCTTCTAGCAAAGCAGTCATCTGCTTTTGCTATTACTAAGCAGTAGTTTTCTCAACTCGGTTATTTTTAAAGATGTTCAGTTATTTTTCCAAATCTTCTCTTAAATTGATTTGATATCTTTCATATGGCTATGAAGCTGTGTATACTGTTGGAGGACACAGTGGAAGATTCACTTCCTAATTTCTTTCACCTCCAGGAAAATCTTTCAATCAGTGCTGCTGATATTTAAAAAAATTGGGGTTTTTTGATTTCTGTTATGAAGACATATTTTCTAAAAAAGGAAATACAGCTTTAGGGTTTTTTTTTTCTTTTAAGTAAGGAAAGGTTGCAGAACCAATCAATTGTACAAATTCTTTTTTTCTATTTGTTGACAAATACATAGGGGGAAAAAAGCACAATGTCTGCAACATCTAATCATTCTTCTTTGCCACAGTGTATCACAATTAGGTGTTCTTATTCCTGCCTAAGTTTTCAGATGATTCCAACACAGGATTTTTTTTTCTTTTTTTACTGATTTCATATTTCTGTAAGAATGTACATGAGGTTTAATATATGTCAATCACATATAATTTCTTTATCAGAGCTGATGATTACAGTGCATGGAAATTACCTAAACCATAATTCCAGATACAAACATGCTTTTTGAAAAATTTAGTTCTGAAATTAAACCAAGTACCTGGCTCTTTTTCCTGCAGGAGAGCAAACTAAAATTATGAAATCAAGAAAATTATTTTAAAAGTTTTATATGGGAAACTTATTGCTATTTATTAATATTATAGAAAAAAATAAAGCATTTTCTATTACATGAATAATATGAAATGAGAAGACTAATGACTTAGCTCTGTATTTGTGTATTGTGCAATGAATTTTCTGAATTTTCAGTATGGTAGGCAGTTGGCAGGCTAATTTCAAATTAGTTTCTTTCAAAATTTGCTGCTCCTACCGCTTCTCTCCAGATAGTCTGCTCCCAAGTAGCTATGCCTTGAGTGCCTAGTCCGAGGAGTGCTGTATCAACCAACATGCATTGCAGCTGATTAAAGCCAGTATCAAGTGATAAGTAAAGAAAAGATTTAACAACATTTTGTAAGAAAATTATAAAATTTCTACCTCAAAGTTGTGCAACATTCTTTACATCCAAACAACCTTAGTCCTTATGACCACCTAAGTAAACTGTTCCTGATATGCAACCGTTTACTGCTTCTCGTCATTTCACCACTTAAAATTTTCAAACTGCAGCCAGCAGTGGAAGCAAGGCTGAATGACATTGGCCTTATAAAAAAGAAAGCAAATGCTTGCGTCTGAAAAAGGCTTCATCATGAATATTCTTCTTACTCTCGCTGTTAAGAAATTGAGCAAATATTTCCAAAATTATTACAGTTTTGTAACATTTTTTTATGTTTCTGTTAAAAATAGGCCATATTAGTAATACCTCACGGTTTTACCTAACAGCGATAATGTTTTACAAGTCACATATGTAGAAAAGGATATAGTTACTGAAAAGTAACATTAGAAGTTGCATATTTGAGGAAAGAAAACTGTGCAATGCTAATACAATGCAAAAAACTAAGCAGCATACAAATAAAAGATATATAGGAAAATGTGTGAAAATTAACAAGTAGCATTCTCTTTAATTTGGTTTTGTGTTTACCTTTCCTCACTTCTGTTGATTCCTAATGCAGCCTTTTATTTTTTAACCTTAATACAGGCGTGTTACAGTAGTCTGACATTATTTTAATTTCTCTGAAAGGCACTTAATTATCTCATCCATGTAAATCTTTGTACAGTATAGGACAACTTAGTTTATAGTGGATTAGTGAGTTAGTCTTCTAGTAGATTTCTCTACCACCTTAATATAAACATTATAAAATTATGCAGAACCATCACAATTTCACAGTAAATATCCCTGCTGCTATTAAAAAAAAAAAAGTTGTCTAATCTTGGGCTATTTAAAACTTATTTTGTTTAGACATGGTATATATTTTTAAATATGTCTGTAGTCTATAACTACTGAATTACAAAGTTTAATAAAAATATGCATACGGTTTTGAATGTTTTGTACATGCTATCGTATAATGTGATCACTATCAGTCCTTTTTTATTTAGTCGTTGCCCATACTGTACCGTCATTTCTTGTTAGGAATTACCTTATTTCCCTTGTGTTTGCAAGAACATTAGAATTCATAGAATGGATAAAGCCAGGATATTCGTAGTTAAGATAAATTGAAGTTTAAGCATGTTAAAATTACAAGCAAAATGCCAAAATAACCTTACGCTGCCTTAAATGACAGTTGCAATAAGTATGCGGTTTTGATTTAAAGTATTTCCACTTGTGTGGTCTTGGATTATATTAACTCTTTTTAATGAAATGTTAGGGTTTGAGGGTTTTGTTTTTCAATTTTATCTCCATGTGATATCAGTTGGATATATAATGCTTGCTTTGGAGGTAATTATGTACATTTGTTTGTATAAAGAAATACTTACATGTGCTTAATCTTACTTTCCTTTTTACATATTTTAAATTTAGGAGAGAAAAGTTAAATATTTAAGTTCTGAACTATGGAAGAATTCATACAGGGCTCCTATGTGAGCTCTTTTATTGCAGAAAAAATGACACTAGATATTATTTCATGTAATAAAATAGTTCATTATTTTAGAATTATGTGGGCAGAACTAAGCTAATTTGATTATGATTATATTTTACTATGGGAAATTAAAGTCAAAAGTGATCATTTGACTGCATGCATTCATAAAAGATTGGGTCCGTCCATATAGGAGAGAAATGGAAGCTTTTTTGAACCTTGGCCCAAATTCTTATCTTTTCCTCAGCCTTCTCTTT